AGGAAGAAAATAAAAGAAAATGGGGGAGGGGATTACAGCAGAGGGCATCATTTATTCAATGTTCCAACAAGCATGTGAAGGGTCAATCCAAGACTGGCTTCTAGGCAGTGAGATGGAGAACACAGGGCACCTGGCCTCAGGGAGCTTTCCTGGGTGAGTTGGGAATGTGTGCGAGTGAGCAGGATGCAAGCGTGGACTTCAGGAGGTAGGCGTGCACAGTGACTAAGAGCATGGCATTTTCTCTTTCTCTGTTCATCTCTTTCCTTCTGTCTTTCCTGAATGATTTAGAGGGGAAAAGCAAGGTGGGGGTGTCAGGGAGGGCGAGAAGTTATGGTGGTGTCAAAGCCTAAAGGGGTTTTGAGGTTCCACACTAGGTAGGGTTAGGGGAGGAGGGGGCTGGGGGCCATCTGGTATGGGGAGCCAGCATTCCAATGGGGTAGTGGGGTGAGGAGGAGTCCACATAGAGGGGCAGCATGACCCAGGGTGTTGGGGCTTGAGAAGGTGGGAATAAATCCACAGATGGGCAGCTTGGTGTGCAATGTTGGAACATGAACTGAGTGGGGTGGGGGCGTTTATATGCAGGCATTGTCTGGGGCAGGGGTTTGCACTGTAGGGCAATTAGGGAGGAGGCCACACAGGGGGCATCTGGCATGGGTTGTCATAACCCAAGCAGAGACAGAAGGATGTCCATTCATGGGAATAGCATGGTGTACGGTGTTGAAGCCAGACTAGGCTGGGAAAGACATTCCCACAAGGGTGAAATGGCAAAGGAGAAGGGAAATTGGCTACACACGGCGAGTAAGGGGAATGGGGGCCAGGTCTCCCACTGTTGGAAAAGGGAGTTACTAAGACAGAAAGGAGGAAAGTCGAACGAGCACCGTGGTGTTGGACTGTAACTGGAGGTGCTGGTATGTCCTCGTGGATCTCAATTGTGTATAGAGATAAAAATAAACACACAGTTTCAGTGTGTATAGGAACATTTGTACACATATTCTCTAGCTCTCTCCACTAAGAGAACATAGAAACAGCGATGGCCCATACAAATGAGCACCGCTAGCATCCAAATCTTGACTTCTATTTACTATTCTCCACCAAATGAAACCAGAGTGCTTAGGAAATTTGGCTGATTCCATGTCTAGGGCAAAAAAAGAACAAGATGAGCCTACAAACATCCTATGCTTAAAGCAAGAAATTGCTCAGAGTTATGAGAACATGTGGAAAGAACAAAGGAGTCTGCTTGAAGAAGCTCCATTGGCCATACTGGGCAGTTTGAGAGTCAAAATAAATAATGATAGTAACAAATTACACAGGACCACAGAGGAAACCAGGAGTCCATAGTCAGATAAATAAAAAGGTAAGTGGGAAGTTTGATATTTACAGAGCTCAAAATACCTCCCTACAAAATCCCAGTTTCAAAGGAGTTACTTTATAGTGGACAAACATGGCAAACACCATCTTAGTCAAAGCGGACAGCATCAGTAATGTGGTAAGTTGGAATTTTGCACCACCTGACAGGATGTCACGAGAACAAAGCGTCGCTTCTGTAAGATTCCTGAATCTCATCATAATCAGACGTCAGACGAACCCAGATGGAGGGATGGTTTACAAAATAACTGGCCTGTAAGCTTCAAAAATGTCAAGGTCATGAAAATCAAGGAAAGACTGAGGAACCATTCGAGATAGGAGGAGACTAAGAAGACATGGCCGAGGCCGGGCGCAGTGGCTCACACCTGTAATCCCAACAATTTTGGAGGCCGAGGTGAGCAGATCACTTGAGGTCAGGAGTTTGAGGCCAGCCTAACCAACATGGAGAAACCCCGTCTCTACTAAAAATACAAAAAACAGCCGGGCGTGGTGGCGCATGCCTGTAATCCCTGCTACTTGGGAGGCTGAGGCAGGAGAATCGCTTGAACCCAGGAGGCGGAGGTTGCAGTGAGCCCAAGATTGTGCCACTGCATTCCAGCCTGGGCAACTAGAGTAAAACTCTGTCTCAGAAAAAAAACAACAAAAAAGCCACGACTGAATGCAACACAGAATTCTGAAGTGGATCCTTCTGCTCTCAAGGTCTTCTTTGGGATGACTGGTGGTTTGCTGGCAATAGTTTGACAGCCCCTTGGCCTGTAGATGCCTCACCCCAATCCCTGCCTCCATGTTCACATGGCCTCCCCTCTGTATACATGCCTGTCTCTGTTTTTATTTTTTTATTTTTTTTATTTTTTGAGACGGAGTCTCGCTCTGTCGCCCAGGCTGGAGTGCAGTGGCCGGATCTCAGCTCACTGCAAACTCCGCCTCCCGGGTTT